TTAAAAAAAGTATATTTTTTAATATGTTAAAGCTTTCAAATTAGTCCAATTTTATTCAACTATGCTATGTTGTGTAATTGTTGGAATATGCATTTTTATAATGAGCGGGGCATAAGAATTGTTCATTATCTAAAAAAGATTTTTTTCATCGAACAGTTTTGTAAACTTCATTAATAATGCCTCACGAATATATACTAATTAATTTCCCTAATTTAGTATTATTATATACTTAACCATAATTGGTTTAACTTTTTGGGCCGGTCATTTAATGATTTTATTATAAATAAACAACCTTATCTAAGTTTTTTTTTAAAAAAATTTCAATCATTCAAACACTCACAAATAAAAATCATCATGAAGTTTACATTAATTCTTCTTGTTCTCGTCACCATAATTTTCAACGTCTTTATCGTCACTGGGGCAAATCTGGGACGGAAAAGAGATGCTCCTCTTCTTTCAACTTTGAAGAAAGGAATTGTTGTTACAAAATCAAACTCAGGATCTCTGAAAAACCAGGGAGGTAATTGTCCAAACGGTTTTTCCCTGTGTCCATTTGGAGGATGTTGTCCTAGTGATCAAACATGTGTCGACAACCAATGCTCAGCTCCATGTAAGTCTACTGATCCAGTTTGTGGTCCTGGTTGCTGTAGACCAGGTGACGTTTGTTGCAAAGTTACTGTTAATTTTTGCTGTCTAGCAGGCCAAACCTGTGGTGGGTCAGACTATGTATGTTACATATAAAGTTACTCTAGGATAGTTCTGCACCTTAAAAAGGTTAATATTTTTACTATGTTTAGTTGCTTTTCAAAATTTTATGTATTAATAATATACTATTAAAATTATTTAAATCATTATTATTATTAGTTATTATTATTATTAGTATTATTATTATTGTATTTATTTTTACTATATTCGAATTATCAATAAATAAAAATTAGTTTTTATTTAACGAGAACGAGCCCATTCATCTTATATAGTGTGTTATGAAAAAAATTGGCCTGACAAAAAATCGAATTGCACCAATTTTTTGTAAGGTCCATTTTAAATTGTCCCTGAAATTTTAACATGGAATTTTTTAACAATCGCTCTAACATAAAAACACACATAATAATTGTATAAAAAAAACATACCAATTCGTAGCTTATATTCTGAGGATTATGAATATAAAATTATATGTGTCCATATTTTTTAGAACTTATTCAATTAAAATAAAAGAAATTTACTTGTTTTTGAAAAAGAAGAAAAATTTTAATGTAAAGTATTTTAATCATTGCTCTAAAACCTACATAATAATATGCTTCGAAATTTTTATATGTAATAATTTAAAATCTCTCAAACATCTGATATAATTTTTATAATGTGGCTTTCCCTACACAAAGTTTAGATACTTAAAATGCACTTAAAATATACATCATATACTTAAAATATACTTAAAATATACTGATGGAAGAGAACAAGAACATCTTAA